GCAAGCAGTGTTTATAACTGCTTTTTGGTTTCGCTCCCTTTTTTTCTGGCAACTGATTACATTTTTCATGACTTATCTGCATCACCTGATTTTTATATCCTGATCCATTTTGTATTTTCACTATATTTCTAAATCACAGGGCTTTTGGAAGAAATTAAGCGATTATCGGGAGCAGCCGACTGTTTATTACAAACAACGTTTCATCGTAATACTGAAAGCAGAAGAGCATGCCAAATATTACATGTGGAGTTCATATCCATTACTGAATCAAGCTGAAGAAGAACATCTGCGAATAGCCGTACTCGAAATGCAAGAAAACGATTTTAACGATGACGGAAAACCTGATCTGGTTAAGCTCTAATGATTTCGATTTTTAAAATTTGACATTGTATTTGGATTTTCTACAGGAAATGCCTTTGTCTTCGTTGCAGTTTTTCAGTTTTTGGCATTTACGTTTGAGAGATTGATAAAATCCGCATTTGTATGGTCAGTATAATCATCGGTGAACTTAAAGGCAACGAGCGGTTAAAAGTCCAAAATCGTCTTTCAGATTTTGCTTTGAGGCAGTCTGTGACTGTGGAAAAAAAGGAGCGAAAACAAAACTTATAAAAATGGAGATGACTGTTGCTGTTGATACTAGTTGCCACACGTTTCTCTTCCAAATTGGTTGGGGATTACTAACAGAATCGGTGTTCAGATAATGGACCAGTACGTCGGCTCTAGCTAATTCGATCCAAATGAACGAATACGATAAACCTCTCGAACGAATGCCACGCCTCACATTTGGGCTATTAAACATTTATTTAAATTGGTTAACAAAGCGCGTGATAGTGAAACGATAGCTAGCAACAAAAGCGAGTGGGGCCTGTAGAGCACATACATTAGAGCAAAACATATTCTACATTCCCTTTCATCACTCTGCAAGCAATTCATGATGGCTTTATTAACGGTGCCTAATGAAAAAAGTGCGATTGTTGAAAGAATAGAAGTGGGCGAAAGTGGTGGATTAAGCTTGGATATGGCTAGCACGTTATTGAAGACCTGGAAAAAGATGGATATGAACCACTCCCAGACATGACGTTACAAACGTTTTACCTTCACTGCACATGGTCAATAAAGAAACAATAGTGTAATCAATCATGGGCTACTAAGAGTTGTGCTTTCACCACTGAGCACCATAAGTAGCTCCTGCATAAGAGCCGTCTTTCGACAATATTGACCCATTATAAACCGACTCTAAAATGGAACTCACAAAATTTTCTGCAGACCAAAAAACTATGTCTTTGACCTCCGGTCTCAGCAGTGCTTTTTCAAACAAAATTTGAAATAACTTTGTGATTTTGGATGGACCAAACTGTCGAGTTGGGCTTTTAATGATTCTGTTAACTGGACGACGCGGGACGAGTGACTTAAATAAAAAATTTTACTCTTTCTTAACCGTGGCTTCACTTTTTGATAACTTCTCATGTTAAAACTTAAAACAGGACAAGCCATCTCCCTAACTTTGGCAGTTTGAATTCGCCATATGAGTAAAAGATCTTTGCGGTGAAGAACCACATTCTGTATGCACTGATGCATTCGTCCCTCGTGGGGTCAGAGCATCGTACATCAAAAACGCCTATTTTTTAACGTCATTATTAGCTGGCAAATCTGAAGCCAGTTTTTGGGCTTGTGGTTAAATTAATGCAAATAAACATGGATCTTATGCATATCGTTTTCTCTGTGACTACTTTCAT